ACGCACAAACAACACCATACCACATACACATACACATACACATACACCATACACACGCCACACCGCCCCCCCCCCCCCCGCGGGAATTCCGAATTCCGAGAAACTTTCGCGTCGTCAGTTTCCAGGCCGCGCATGAGTTTCTCGAAATTGCGCCACTCCCCAAACACGCACCACACACCACCGCGCACACACGCACATACGCACACACACACACACCGCGCAGCCCCCGCGGCAATTCCGAGAAACTCCCGCGTCGTCAGTTTCCAGGCCGCGCAGGAGTTTCTCGCAATTGCGCTCCCCCCCCCCCAACACGAACCGCACACCACCGCACACACGCACACACACACACTCACACACAGACCGCCCCCTTCCGCGGGAATTCCGAGAAACTCCCGCGTCGTCAGTTCCCGTGGCCACGCAGGAGTTTCTCGGAAGTGCGCCCCCCCTTCAACACGCACCATACACCACCGCGCACACACACAAACACAAACACACACACACAAACACAAACACACGCACACACACACACGCACACGCACACGCACACACACACAACACAACACAACACAACACAACACAACACAACACAAGACAAGACAAGACAACACAACACAACACAACACAACTCAACACAACACAACACAACACAACACACCGCAACACACCACAACACAACACAACACAACACAAGATAACACAACACAACACAACACAACACGACACAACACAACACAACACAAGACAACACAGCACAGCACAGCACACACATACACACCGCACGCGACCTCCCAGCGCGGGGTGGGAGGAGAATCCGAGAAACTCCTGCGTCGTTAGTGTCCCGACTACGCAGGAGTTTCTCGAAATCCCGTCTCCACTAACCACGCCAACACACGCACACACACACACACACACACAGCGCGGGTGAGGTGGCGCTGCAGGCGTTTCCTCATAATGCCCCCTGTGGTGCACTAGGTATGTCGAGAAACTCCACGCTTTCGCAGGGGGGGGAGGGCAGGGGGGCGAAACCCCATTGGGGGCAGGGGGGTATTTCTCGAAATACCTAATGCACCATAGGGGGCATTCTGAGGAAACGCCTGCAGCGCCACCTCCCGGAATCCTAGCGGGCCGCTGGCAAACCTGCAACCTGGAATCTTGCGGGGCTCCTCGGGCATGACTGTGGAGGAAGTCGGGTCGGGGACTTGTCGACCGGGGGAGTTCCATGGGGGGACGGACGGGGCGGGGACGGGGAAGGGAGGGGGAAGAAGGGAAGAGAGGAAAAGAGGAAGGGAAGGCCCCAGATGATAGAAGGCCCCTGGAAGAAATCTTCGCAATATCTTGGATCCTTTCGAGTTCCGAAGAGGGGGAGCCTCCAACACCACCTCCTCCTCCTCCTCTTCCTCCTCCTCTTCCTCCTCCCCCTCCTCCCCAAAATCCTCCCTCTCTCTCTCTCTCCTCTCCCTCTCTCTCTCGCTCTCTTTTTTTTTTTTTTTTTTTTTTTTTCTCTCTCTCTCTCTCTCTCTCTCTCCACCCGCTTCCAACTCCAAGAGCTCGTTGGAATCCGAGCGGGCCGTCGGATCTACTGGGGCGCAGAGGCATCCGTGCGAGGTCTTCTGGACTGTTTAGGGGGCCGTGCGCTCGACCCATCTGCAGAGGAGGGCTGCTGCACCTACACCTCATGTTCTCCCGCGTCGCGCGCATACGGGACATGCTGATCCTGCGGCCGCCACCGCGGGAGTCCCTGGATCCCGGGCGTCCCTGCGGAAGGGGCGCTCAGGGAGCTCGGCAAGACTGCGGGGAGCTCCAGGGCTGAGGCGGAGCAGCTCGCGGCAGAGCTGGGTTTCGTCCTGCCTCTTGCCTGAGTGCGGCCGCGAGTAGTGCGGTGCCTGCGGGGTTGTCCCAACGGCTTGCTCCCGCGCCCCGTGCCCCAGCAGCTCGCGGGGTTGCCCCAACGGCCTGGCCCGCGGGATTGCCACCACGGCTGCGCGATGTGGCCATTCGAGAACGTGCCCGCGCTGGCCAAGGTGGCGATGACGCCGGGAAAATCGGCACGCGAACTCTTGCAATAGAGATGGGAGGAGGTGGCGGGGGGGAAATGCAGGAGGGCGAGATAACAGGGGTAACGTAGGGAGCGGGCGGAGGGTCTGCGCCAGGGCAAGCAGGATAATGCAGACGAGACAGTAAAGACGCTTCACCAATCACGAGGACGACGATCAGGGGCATTTCTAGACTAGCCGCGAGGATGCTCACATGGGGTCCGACCGCCAAACAATTTAATCATGATCTGCTGATCATAATTTGGCGTGGCTCACGGGAGTTGGTGCTCATCTTGCGCTGATCGTGTGTCGGCGAACAGCGCCAGACAGTGCTCGCAAGCGTCCAGTAGCGACGAATAGCGGTGATGTAGCGCCAGATGGCGACCAAGATCGCCCAAGAGCGCCATGTGAAGGAGATGCGCTATGCCCACTCTGCGCGCGATTGGGGCGCGCCGTTGGGCGCCATGGGGGCGGCCAAAGGCTTCCATTTTTTTTTTCCAGCCCGCTGGCTCGGAGAGATTCACGATTTATTTTCCTGTCCGAAATTATTATTACCTTGCCCTCGTCCTGCACCGAAGCCCCAAGCCGTTAAGCCAACGTGGCGCCTACCCCTGCCCCCGCCCACGCCTTCGGAGGAAGGAGGGGCGAAACCTTCACCGCCAGGGTTGCCACCTCCAGCGGAGGTCCACAACACGTTCCCGACCGGGGGGCATGAGGTGCGTCGACCGAGGAGATGGGGGGAACCACGCCACCAGGAGGACCCTCGCTGGCGCGGCCCCACCAGTGGGACAATCCCTCCCCCGCCCTCCCAGTCCTCCTCTGCCAATTGGTAGCGTCGGCGCCCGTAGGCCTCCGACGTCGCAATTTCTTGTCACGGCGTGGGCCCCCGGAGGCGGGAACCCCTCCCCCTGAACCAGCAGAGCGGGAGGTTCGGCGAGCCCCCAGAAGGGGGAAACCTTGCACGCAGATGTTGCAACCAGTGAGTGTTAAGGATACTGATTGCTTCGACGAGGATCGTCAAAGGAGGGGAAAGTACCGATACCGCCTCTTTGGGCCTCTTGAGAGGCCCTCGTCTCCATGGTTGGATTCGCCTTGGAATTCTGGTCTGAAAGCACACCAGGAGAGTCCGGGGAGTAGCGGTATCGGTAACTCTTGGCCTCCCCAGGTCGGTACCAATCGTTGCAATTTTTTTTGGGGCCACGTTGGCGTCCCGTGGGGCGTCGAACGGCCTCGGAGCGCAGATCACTCGTATTTTCACGTTTCCCAGCAGAGTGTGGAGCAGGAAATGTGTGAGGGGGCGTGCCGACATGACAGTGTCGTAGACACGAAGGTGCTGCTCACTCGTATTTTTACGCGTCCCAGAATAAATGTCAGAGAGGAAATGCATGATGGGGTGCGCCGGAACGAGGCTTTCGCAGCCCTGGGGGGGCATCCCATTCGTGTCAGGACGCACCCCTGGAGACGTCCAGGGAGTAGCGGCATCGTGATCTTTTGGTTCCCCCACCTGCAGGGAACCGCGGTGCACGGTAGTCTCACGAGGGGGAGGGGGGCAGCCGAGAGGGGAGGAGGAGGAGGAGGAGGAGGAGGAGGAGGAGGGCGGAGGAAGGAGGAGCAGGAGGATGAGGAGGAGGTGGAGGAGCAGGTGGAGGAGGAGGAGAGGCGGAGGAGGAGGAGAGGTGGAGGAGGAGGAGAGGAGGGAGCAGGAAATAGAGGGGGGAGGGAGGAGGAGGAGAGTGGAGGAGGAGGGAGGAGGGAGGAAGGATAGGGGAAGCGCCAGATAGGGCCAGGATGGGGTGGTTGCGGCAGGGTGCTCGAGGCGCTGCGCGGGAGTCCTCACGGGGAACCCGACAGGGCTGGAAGCCCTCCTGAAGGCCCAGACCCTCCTCCTCTCCTCCTCTCCTCCTCCCCCCTCCTCCTCCACCTCTTCCTCCTCCTTCTCCTCCCTCCACCCCCTCCTCCTCCTCCTCCTCCTCCTCCTCCTCCTCCCTCCTCCTCCTCCTCCTCCTCCTCCCTCCTCCTCCCTCCTCCCCCTCCTCGACGTGATTTTTTCACGACGTGCCCCGCAAACGTCTGCACCACTTCCCGGGGACCGGTTTTTCCCCCTTGGTCGTTTGTGACGCTCCCGGGGCCCGGGAAGGGCTCCGGGAGGCTGAAGATTGCAGAAATCCGCCCGTGGCATGTTTTCACAGCGCGAGGGGGTCTGGGCAGTTGAACGGGGAACGCACGCGCCCGAACAACTCCTTCGGCCCCCCCGCCGAGCGCGAGCGCGCGGACGCGTGGAGATGGCCACGGACGCGCGGCCGTGTTGCGCGGTGACGCGCGGGTGCCACTCGTGCGCGCCTGCAAGCAGACGTGCGGGCGACACGACGGCGACGAGGACGACGACGACGACGACGACGACGACGACGACGACGACGACGGCGACGACGACGAGGACGACCGACGACCGACCGATGACCGATAACCGACGACCGACTACCGGCGACCGTTGACCGACGACCGACGACCGACACGACCGACGACCGACGACCACGACGAGCGAGCGGGCGTCCCTCCGCAACGCCGAGTGGCGCGCGGCCCTGCGGGCTCCTCTGCGAGAGCGGGGGGGGGCCGCTGACTGATTGGGTGGGCGCGCGCCAGGGGCCGCCCCGGGGGCGGCGGCGCGGCCGCCGTTGCTCCCCCCTCTGCCTCCTGCCCCTCCTCCCCTTCTCTCTTTGTGCCCCCGCCCTGCCACTGGGCTCCCTCACGCTGGTACAGTCGGGGCGCTGAAGAAGGAACCCTTTTCGTTGGGGAGGGGCTCGGTGTTCCTTCATCGTTTCAAAGTTTGCCTCGGGTTTTCCCCGAGGTCTCCGTGGTCAGTCCAGGTTGAACTCATGGGGAAGAGGGGCCTCGCTCCTTATGTAGGGCTCCTCAGGTCAACGCCTCGATTGTAACAAAAAGCGGGCGTTCCTCCGCCCCCTCGCAGAGGCACCTGGCCCCTGAGCAGGCCGGGCGCCGCCGTGCCCGCCGCAGCCGCGCCGGAGGGGCCGCCGCCCGAGGACGACGCCCGCGTGCTGCAGGCCTGCCGCCGCCGAGCGTCTTCGGCGTCGGCGTCCTCGTCGTCGTCGTCGGCGTCGGCGCCCTCGTCGTCCTCGTCGTCCTCGGCGTCCTCGGCGTCCTCGTCGTCCTCGTCGTCCTCGTCGTCTTCGTCGTCCTCGTCGTCGTCGTCGTCGTCGTCCTCGGCGTCGGCGTCCTGGTCCGGCGACGGCGTCTGTCGGCGCCTGGCGGCCTGGGCTCACCCCGCTTCCCTATGCTCCGCCCGCAGCGCCTCATCGGCAACGATCCGAGTCGTCGGCGTCGGCGCGGCAGGCCGCCTCCTCCTCGGGTGGGCCGGGGCTTCCCGAGGGATCGGCGGCCTCGGCGTCGGCGTCGTCGTGCACCTCCTCCTCCCGCTCCCCTCCTCCGCCCGCCGTCTCTGATCGACAACGACCGGCGTCGTTTGCGTCGGCGTCGTCGTCCGCCTTCGCCTCAGCCTCCTCCTCCTCCTCCTCCTCCTCCGCCTCGTCCTGCTTCCCTCCTCCGCCCGCTGTGCCTGATCGACAACGATCTCCTGCGAGCACTTGCGGAGCGGATCCGTGCCAGGTGCCGGGGAGGAGGCATCCAGGCAGTTTCATGGCGCCTTCGCGGAGCTCAGAGATCAGGGTGTCCTGCCATCAGGCTGTCAGGATTGTCCCTTTCCTCCTCTCCTTCCCTGCCCCTCCTCCTCATGCTCTCTCCTCGTCTTCCTCGTCTTGTGAGCGCGCCCCAGGGTTCCCCTTTGATGCCATCCTGCGTCAGAGCCCATGCGGCCGCCCTGTGGACCCAAGATCGAGCCCAATCGGCGGCCGAACGGGCCCGATTCCCCTGACCCTGCCGGAACTGAGCCTATTCAGCGGCCGAGCGGGCTCAGATCGGCACGAACGAGATGGGTACGGAAAGAATGGGCACAAAGACCGACAGCAGTTCCTGTTCATTTTGAACAGGACTCGCTGTCCGCGCCGCCGCGGCCTGTGTCCATTTGAGGCAGAAGGCCGCCTGCCCAACAGCGGCCGCTGTTGGTTCGGGACAACATTTGCTGTTGGGCATTGTGCCCATGGTTTCCGTGCCCATTTCGGGCGTCCAAATCAGACGCCGAACGGGGCTCGGAAGGGAGTCCGAGCGCACAGCCTGGCAGGTCCGCGATTCCCTGCTGCAGAACATCCAGAGCGTCCAGAAGGAGCCGCATCGCCCGCACCGTCGTGACCCGCCCCGCGGGTATGGGGAGGGCCTCGGTTCGGAGGAGGGGGGCCCAGTCCTGGAGGCTACCCTTCCTCCCTCCTCTTTCTGTTCCTCTCCTCCTCCTGCCCCCGCCCCTCGCGCTCCTCCTGGCTCCTCGTGCTCTCACTCCCCGGCATGTGCCCGCCGCAAGACCAGACGGGAGACCCAGGTAGGCTCGGTAAAGTTCCACCACTTGCAAAGTGCCTACTCGCAAACTTCCGAACAGCGCATGTCCGTTTTCGATGTAATTTGTCGTAGATCCCCCGCGGCGGATCCAGGCCATTTGCGAGTAGATCTCTGCGAGTAGTGGAACGCGCTCGTCTACAGATAGGCTCGGTAAAGTTCCACGTTTCCAGGACGCCTACGCCGCCCTGGTCTTGCACCCCGAACATGGAGCAGCTAGTCGTGCCACCATCGCCCTCGACAGGATACCCCAGCAATTCATAGTCATCAAGGGGGGCCTAGCGTCCCACCAGGGATACCTAGACGAGCATCGCACCCACCATCCGGCATTTGGGGGCAGGTGAAGAGCACCTGGGCTGCGGCTTGCGTCCGTGCCAGACGCCACAGACCCACCAGTCTGACAGAGTTCCCGCATGGCTGTGACTGTGACGTAGTCCCCGACCTTCAACTCGATAACCTGGTCGCCTCCACCGGCGCCCTGCTTAGGAGGCGCAGCCACGCCGTCAACGCTAACCGCATCAAGGCCCGGAGAGCTCGAATGCGAACCAAAAAGACGGAGGCAGGGCGAAGAGCCAGTGGGCCAGAGCGGCCGCCACACCGAACATTGTTCCCCCCGCACCCCGCGCTCACCGAGCGCGTTCCACTGCTCGCAAAGTGCCCACTCGCAAACGTCAGAAAAAACACATGTCTGCATCGATGTAGTGTATTGTCGGAAACTCGAGCATATATATATATATATATATATATATATTACCAGTGGCGGGCGTTTTTTCAATCCCAGGACTTTTTGGAGGGTCGGCGACGACGTCGGGGTGGTGTGGTGTATGTTTCCTCGTTTCCCCTTGGAAGCAACAGAACATGTATACGCCAGGATGCCGTGTACACCAGAATCCGCTCTCTTGTGCGAATCTCAGTGCGGGACCGGAACAAAAGTATCTCAGAGCGTGAATTACCTACCCCGCTTTCGCTTCCAGGCAAAACCAAGCCGTACCACGCGCCTCCTCGTTAAGCGGCCTGACCAGTACTGGTTGCAATTTGGCATCGTTTGGTATCTCTTGGAAGCGAGGGTGGTCAAAAGCGAGGTAGGTTTGTTTTCCCCCTAGTATCGGCGTAGAAAGTTCGGTTCCTCACATCGTAAATCCCCCATGGCGGATCCCGGGCCAGTTGCGAGCAGCCACTCTGCGAGCAGCGGCGCGCGCTCGTCCACGCGCGGAGGGCCCTCGCACGCGCCACCCAGGCACGCACGGGAGCGAAGCAAGGGATATAGGGATACGAAAAGTGACACAAGCATAAACGCTCTGAGGTCCGCGCGGAATTCTCGGATCGGAGCTGGGACCCCCCCGGCGGCGCCTCCGGCGCCGCCCTTGGCGCGCTCCGCGCGCCAGGGATGGGTGTCCAGCGCGGATCCATGAAATCCGCTCGGACCTCCGGTTTTTTACGCTGATGTCTGTTTTCGTTTCCCTAGGAAAGGCAGCTCCTCGGCGGAAGACGGGAAAGGCAGCTCCTCGGCGGAAGACGCATCGCGTTCCTCGAGACGTCGTTGTCGTCGTCGTCGTCGTCGTCGTCGTCGTCGTCGTCGTCGTCGTCGTCGTCGTGCACCGACGTGCACATCCGTGGGTGCCGCAGCTTACGGCGAGCTCTTGGGGGGGGCGGCCCGCGCCCGTGCGCCGGCAGCGGGGGCCGCGGACATCTCACCCCCGCCCCCAGTCCTGGCGCCCCGCCTGCCAGGGATTCCCGTGGGTGCTCGGGGGCGGCAAAGAGGGGGGTGATTCGGGGAACAACAAGTGGCACAACATAAAAACTCGGAGGTCCGCGCGGATTTCTCGGATCGGCGCTGGGGCCCCCCGGCGGCGCCTCCGGCGCCGCCCCTGGCGCGCTCCGCGCGCCAGGGAGGGGGGTCCAGCGCCGATCCAAGAAATCCGCGCGGACCTCCGAGTTGATATGTCTATGTCACTTTTTGTTCCCCTAGTGATGACTAGGGGGGGGTGGATGTCATTGCGGGGGCCATGATATTTCCCCAGATTTCATGGCGCCTCGTCGTATTTCATGACGTCCCTGGCCCCCCCCATGGGCCCCGCACATGCCGCAGGTCATGATTTTCATGATTTGCACCCCCCCCTCTTGGACATCCCTCTCTTGGCCGCTCCCGAGGGGGTGGGGGGCCATGTTGAGCCATTGCACATATATTCTAGTGGCGCGTCTACCACGACCCTGAACGACTTCGTCTCGGGCAACGAAATCGGCACCGACGAGTCTGCATCGAGGCAGCTTAGCGGGAACGCCGTCCTGGCCGACACCAGAGCCACGCTCAAGCTCGTGAGGGAAACGTGGGCACCTGTCCTGGACAAATGCCGAAATGCGGGGTCCCGCTCCGACGAAGCCCGTCGAGCGTGGGAGGACTTCGAAGCGGAGCACCGCCAGGATCTTCTTGACCTGGCACCGGCGCAACCGTTCGCCTTGACCAACGAGGCCCACATCCGCTTCGTGCGGACCCGCCCCGGCGCCAGGGCTGGGGGCCCGAACGTGTGGACCACTGAAGCAACCAACACGCTCCCAGACGGACTCCCCCGCCTCTTCGTCACAAGGTTGAGGACTGCGCAACGCAGGGGACGAGTCCCCGAGCCTTTCTTGCACAAAAACCGAACCCATGCCTTCTGAAAGAGGGAGGTCATCCCCCTGTCGACCAACGACCCCCCTTCCGTGTTTTTTCCATGGAGGCTTGCACCTGGGAAGCACCAGCTGACCGCAGCCTCGCATCCTGGAGAGCTCACCGGACCCGCCCCCCTGGCTTCGGGGGTGGCTCCACACGCCACGGAAGGGGACGTCGGCACGACCTCGGCGCTCCAGGTCGAGCACGCGCGCCACCTCTTAAGCCCCCCCTGGCCGGGGCCGCGGGAGACGACAAAAATGCCCCGGACGCCTCGTCGCGGACATCTGCCTCAGCCTTTAACCTGGCGCTTCGCGCGGGGGTCCGCCCGCGGGCTCTTTAGAGCAGCAGCCGCGTGGGCGGCGCCTGCTCCGGACCCCTGGCGCGCGCGCTGGCGGGCGCCTGCAACGAAGTGTAAGTGTTCTCCCTTGACGGCATCGAGCTCCTCGTGTGCGCTTGGGGTCCCATACGGTAGAGGGAAACAGTTACTGAACACTCCCCCTCCCCCCAACTCAAGGTCGGCACGCGCGGAAGACGCTGCGGTCGAAGTGCATCGCATCAGACCCACCGCCAGCTTTGAACATTGGGGGGAGGGGGGAGGCGTTGACATATTAATTTGGCACGAGTGTTCGCTTGCAGGTTCCCGCACAGCGGATCACCAAGTACAGCGACTGCTGGTGATTACACACCTGTCCCCCTGCATGGCGTATTCATTTTTGATATCTGTTCCTGCATGTGCGAGTTCGCAGTATTTTCGTGCCGATGCGCCGTCTAGGTGTGGCTTCGTGTGCGTGTGTGTGTGTGTGTGTGTGTGTTCGCGAATTGGTTCCGGTGCCTGTACGTCGGCAGCGCAGGCACCCGCCCCGCTCGCGGAGCGCAGCAGCTCGTCGACGACGGCCGCTCCGCGGGGCGGTCGAGCCGGCCCGTGGCCGAGGCTCGCCGTGGCCAGGAGCGCTCCGTGGTCTTCCTCGGTCGGCGCCCCGTGGGGCTGCACTTGGACTGTGCTGCACCGCGTCCGTGGAGCGTCTGCAGACGTTCGAGGCGGAGGTCCGTGGCGCACAGCATCGCCGTGCCTCCATCCGCGCGTCGCCTGCACCACGCAGGACAAACGTGCCTGGTGCTTCGGCGAGAGGAGGAGGAGGGGTGATGGATGAGGGGGGGAGAGGTGGAGGGGAAGAGGAGGGAAGAGGGAGGAAGAGGTGGAGGGAGCATGGCAAGGAGGATTGGCTGGCGCCGTGCTCGAGGAGACCAAGCAGGCGACAGAGGACGAGGAGGACAGGAGTTAGACGAGGATGCGTGTATTAGAGAAGAGCCAGGGGCCAGGGGAGCCTCTCCTGCTGCATCTTCTGCCCCTCCCTTTCCGCCTCCCCTCCTGGAAGAGGAGCAGCGCATCTCACGCTACCCGGGCCAGATCGGAACACCTCGACCGGACGCCCACAAATTTATACGGCACACTGACTTTTGAGGCACCACAGACGTGCGTGAAAGAAGTGGTCGCCGCGCGGGATGCACATCTGCTGTTGTGGAGGGAACTGGAGCGCCCAAGAGCGCTCCAAGAGCGGCCCAAGAGGGCCCAAGAGGGCCCCGGGGCAGCAGTTTTGAGCCTCCATGGGGGCGACGAGAGTGGAGACCTCCCCGCTTTTTGAACAATGGGGCCCAAGACGGCCACAAGAGGCCTCCCAGACCCCCCCCAAAGAGCCCCAAGAGCTTAGTGGGCCAAACGGCAGGGCCGTTTGATCACCGTTTCCGGGGAAGTGTCCCCTGAATATGGACACGGCAAAAACCGGCGACCGGAAACGGCAACAAAAACTGCTCCAGGATTGGAACCGGAGCGGGAACCCGCAAAAGAACGGCAAAGCGGAACCGGTAACAACAAACGGCGTCGGAACCGGCAACAAAAACGGCAAAACGGAACCGGTAAAAAACGGCCTTGTCGTTTCCAGTCCCAGACCCCCCCAAAGAGCCCCATGGAGAGGGCTCCCACCCCCCCCTAGAAAGCCCCAAGAGGGCCTCGAGAAGTACTCGCGCTCGCATTATGTTGACGAGCGGGGACCCGCGCGACTTGCGCAGCCGCGGGCGCCCGCCGAAGCCCGGGGTCAGTCCGGGGCCTCCGGGAGCTCCGCGAGGCGTTACGCCGCAAGATGCGTGCGAAGTCCGCCCCTCGACTAGGCGTAAGAGTGACCTTTCGCCGGAGTGACCTTTGGTGCGGGCACGGATGGGCCCCCAGACGGCCGAAAGAGAAGCGGTAGCAGCGGCTTGCGCGCTTGCTTTGGGCCCCCCCGCGGTCCCAAAAAGCCGCGCGCCACAGGTCACTCTTACCCAGGGTCACTCTTGCGTGCAGCCGAGCCCCGCTGCCCCCAGCGAAGCGGTAATTCACCGAGGAGGAGCGCCGCCTGCCCGCGCGCGAGGAGGCGGTGGAGAAGGCACGAGGGTGAGGAAGAAGACGGGGGCGAGGACGAGGAGGGAGGAGCCCGAGGATGCGACGATAGCCGGGGAGGTCTCCTCCTCTGGCGTCGTCTCCCTCTACTGTTCAGTCGGGCACGTCACTCTGCAGGAGGAATCTTCAAAAATAGTAAAAAACAGTCAGGGGAAAATTTTTGGACTGCTTTCGATGTTTGTAAATATTGTTTGACTTTTTGAAAATCCGCCTCTGGGAGGGCATTCCCGACCTAATTCCTTCTGGATCACGACTGGTGAGTCAGCGCGAGGAAGGCCCCCTCACTGCTTCAGGCAAGTAGTGGTTCGAAACCTTGCCCGCCCCTGAGGTCCTGGCGTCTCGGTTTTTGCGAACCGTGCGTCTTCGCCTTTTTTCGGGGCCCGCGACCCTCACGGATCGATCCGACTCGAACAATGACGCAGAACGATGTGGTATAGGGCTCCAGGCGTGATTTTCTACGATGTTGTTTTTTTTCCGCTACGTCAGATCTGAGGGGCTTCCCGCGCCGCGTGTGGCCGTTGCGAGGAGAACTTACCAGAAATGGCGGTAGGCAACGCGACCAGCTGCTACCCTGTACATTACCATTAAGTCGCGCCTGTCCCTCTACAGGAGGGATATTCAGAAATAGTCAAACATTAGTCTGGGGACGATGTTTTGACCACTTGTGAGAAGTGTAAACAGCTCGCCCCAAATCCCCCTGTATGGGCGACAGGCCCGACCTAATGCTACCCTTTACATTGCCACGGCCTGCCGTGTGCGCCTCTCTCGCCCCCACCCTCCATCGCAGGGGTGGACCCAAACGGTGTTTTGACGATTTTGTGGGCCACTTTCGGTTCGATGTCGTCTTGCGTTCAAGGCGGATTGAAAACAAAACGAGGGAAAACGAAAACAATATGAAAACGAAAACAAAATGAAAACAAACATGAGGGATAACGAAAAAACAACACGAAAACGAAAACACCGCTTGGGTTCAGCCCTGCTGCCTCGCGCGCCCTCTGGCCGGAGGGAGGCGAGGCGAGACCACCACCAGGGTCGCGACCGCCAGCGAGGGGGCCCGCGATGCCTTCGCCCGAGCCGTGGCTGCGGGATGCCTCGGGCGAGGGAGGGCACCGCACCACCGGGATGACTGTTCCCTACCTGGGCTCTGCCTAGAAGGGTTCTTACTCTCTTGGCTTAAAGGGGCCGGGCAGTGGACACCGCCCCGGGCGGTTCCCCCAGTCCCCTGGGGAGCCAAGCAAAAGCAACAGCAAAGATAAACGCAAGCGCACGGTTCCCCCAGTCGCGCTCCCCGGGTGCCACGCAAAAGCAGAAGCAAAGGCAAAAGTGAAGGCAAAAGCGAAGGCAAAGCAAAAGCATAGCATAGCATAGCTTAGCATAGCATAGCATTGCGCAGCATATCATAACGCAGCATAGCATAGCGCAGCATATCATAGCATAGCCTAGCCTAGCCTAGCCTAGCCCAGCATAGCATTGCGCAGCATAGCATAACATAATATAGCATAGCAGACCAGAGCAGAGCATAGCATCGCATAGCGCAGCACAGCATCCATGCATGTTGCATCCCTAGAGGCTCCAACTCCTAGGTAGGGTCGCACTGGGATATTTTTTTTCAGGGTCTGGCGATGACCCCGGTTATCGGGCTTGCCCCCCTCCCCCCCAAGGGTAACCTAACCTTGCGGAAGTCGATAAATGGAGGGGAAGCATCTGACAAATAATTTCCATATGTCTAACAGATAGTTAACACTTGTATGGTTGAAACATTGTTAGGACATGTTTTTTTACACGTTCTAAACACATTTTTAATTCAATGGTAGGAATGTTAGAGTGTCCATTGTCATAGCATCCACAAGCCTAACCTTGCTGCTTGTGCATGTCCGGGGTGTGGGGGGGGCGGAGGCATATGGAAAGGGCTGCCCACAGCGCGAGGGTCAGGTGATCGGCCGGCCCCCGCCTCTCCCCCCCCGGATAACCCGGGTTGTCGCCGACTCCAAAATAGAACGGCCTCCATGAGGACAGGTGTGTGTGTGTGCCCAGACATCCGACGTCTCGATGTTTTGAAGACAAGGGCCCCCGACCTCCCGACCACTTCCCCGGGACCGGTTTTTCATCCCGAGTCGTTTTTTGACGGTCCCGAGGCCCGGCGAGGGCCCCGAGAGGCCAAAGACTGAGAAAAACCTCCACCTCGATTTTTTCGAGACGCCCGATGTCTGTTTGTGTGTGTGTGTGCGTGTGTGTGGCCTTTCCATGCTCGCCTGGCGCCGGGCGACACAGGACGAGATTCGGATCGCCGGCATGTGGCACCTGCCACAGCGAGATCTGCGCTCGCCGACCTGCAGCTCGCGTGCCTCCATGGGCTCGCCCGTCCGTGTAGCGTGCGGCAGCGCCAGCCCTCCCGAGGGGCAGAGCGGATTTCTCGATCTGCCTCCGCAGACAGAGGTTTTTCTCAGTCTTTGGCCTCTCGGGGCCCTCGCCGGGCCTCGGGACCGTCAAAAAACGACTCGGGATGAAAAACCGGTCCCGGGCATGTGGTCGGGAGGTCCGGGGCCCTTGTCTCGAAAACATCGAGACGTCGGATGCCTGGGTTCCCAGAGCCCCGACCTTGTGATTTGTTTTGCCACGTCGACCGCCAGAGGTCTGGACCCCCTTCCAGGGCCCAGCTTTTCCAGCCCGAGCCGTTTTTGTTGACGGTCCCGAGGCCCCGCAAAAGGGCTGCCAGGGGCCGAACACGGCGAAACCTTCGGGCCGTTCCTCTGTCACAACGCGAGGGGGTCTGGGGACAGTCGGGCCGGACGAAAGGCGGGGATTGGGAAAGGGGGGGGTACGAAATTTGCTGCGTGCAGCTGGTTTCGGCCTCACCGAGGGGCCCATTCCTCGACACATAGCCGCCTCCAGCGCCGGGAGGCGCCGGGAAAATCAGCTACGTGAGCTGATTCTTAACCCCCCCTTTGCTATCCCCCCCTTTCGCCCGACCCGAGACAGATCCGTGCCGTCGGCATCGCCGTCGGCGCCGCCGCGTCCCCAGCGCGCTGCGCGCCCCACCTCCATGGCGGGAGTTTGTCCATATCCACCGCCTGGGGGCTCCATGTTCGGCGCCTCGGCAGGCGGTGGATGGGGACATCTGCGGGCCCCGGGGGGCCGAAAGGCATCCACCTCCGCCGCCCGCTGGGGCACCAGGACGTCGGTTCCCAGGCGGTAGATATGGATGAATCCTAAGTCGGGCCTGTCCCTCCACAGGGGGGATATTCAAAAATAGTCAACAAATAGTCCGGGGACTATTTTTGGGGGTATTTGGGGGCATCTTGTTGGGCATTTTTGGAGAATTTGATTTCATTTTTTGTAGAAAATCCCCCTGTAGGGGGACACGCCCGACTTAAGGCGGTGGATATGCAAGGGCTCCCACGAGGGCGCGAAGTTATTCGCGCTTCGCGCTTCGCGGTCCTCGTTCCTTCTCCCCCTCCTCCTCGTCTTTCTCTCCTCCCTGGGGGGGGGGGGGGGGGCGGCGCGGGAGCGCGAGGTCACTCGCACGTCGCAGAGCGCGGAGCGCGAAGCGCGGAGCTGGGAGCCCTGGGCTGTGGATCCATCCCCGCCTCGCCCCGCCGCCCCCCCGCGGCACGGGCGCCGGAGGAGATCGAGAGGCTGAACGTCGAGAGGCTGCGGCCCGCGCAGCCCTCGCGCCAGGCGCCGCGCGCCGCCAGCCGAGGGGCGGGCCTCGCCTCGGGGGGGCCCCCGGCCGCAGGCCTCCTGCCGCGGAGGCGCGCCAGCGAATTCCAGCGAGCTCGTTCTCCTCCTCGTCCTTCCATCCCTCCTCCTCCTCGTCGTCCTCCTCCTCCTCCTCCTCCTCCTCCTCCTCCTCCTCCTCGTCTTCCTCCTCCTCCTCCTCGTCGTTCTCCTCCTCCTCCTCCTCTTCCTCCTCCTCCTCCTCCGCCCTCGGCGCTCCCTCCCCCCCTGCGCGCAGCTGCTCTCGGGCCGAGGAGCGTCGGAGGAGGCCTCCTGCTGCGGAGCTGCGCGCAGCTGCTCTCGGGCGCGAGCGAGGCCAGCGGCAGCGCTCGCATGGCGCAGCGGCAGCCACGCGGGGCATCGAGCGAGCGTCGCGCGCGAGACTGCGGAGGAGGAAGAGGTCTAGCCATGCGGCGACCCTGCCTTCGTTTTCCCCTTTTTGGGGTCCCCCTGGAAGGCCCTCGTCGCCACGGCCGGGTTCGCCGCGACATGGGGGTCAGCACGCACCCCGGGAGAGGTCCGGGGAGTAGCGGTATCGCTACCTTTCCTCAGATCGAGGTCGGGGGTTCGAGGTGCTGTTTGCAATGGGAAGAGCACTCGCGCGAGTCTTGCGCGGAGGCCGCGTGCGGGGGGCCTTGTGCGCCTTGTGCGGGTGTCCTTGTGCGTGCCCTTGGGCTCGGACCTCTGCTGGCCAGTCGCTGCTTTTCACAAGACCCCTCGTGTGCCGGCTCTCTTCGCTCCAGCACTCGTTCTATGAAGAGCGTTGTCTTTTCGTCCGTTTGGCGCTGCAGGAGGCTTCTCGTCGCTGCGGCTAGATTCCCTTCGAAGTCTCCGTCAAAAGGACCTCCTGGACAGGTCGGGGGCTCGACCTGTGGCCAACAGGCCCAGGCCCCCTCGCGTCGTCACAAAAGTATCGAATTATCCCAGCAAAGCAACCCAACAGCGATGTGTAGGAGCATATCTGGAAGCATTCCCCTTACGATTCAGTTGTAGAATTCTGCTGTTCTCGCAGTCGTAGTCGCATTCGCGATGAAAGTCGCAGTGGCAACGGCAGTGGCAGTCACAGCCTCAGCCTCAGCCTGCCTCAGCCTCAGCCTCAGCCCGCCTCAGCCTCAGCCTGCCTCAGCCTCAGCCTCAGCCTGCTTCAGCCTCAGCCTCAGTCTGCCTTCAGCCTCGGCCTCAGCCTCAGCCTGCCTCAGCCTCAGCCTGCATCAGCCTCAGCCTCAGCCTCAGCCTGCCTCAGCATCAGCCTGCCTCAGCCTCAGCCTCAGCCTGCCTCAGCTCAGCCTGCCTCAGCCTCAGCCTGCTCAGCCTCAGCCTCAGCCTGCCTCAGCATCACCTGCCTCAGCCTCACCTCAGCCTGCCTCAGCCTCAGCCTGCTTCAGCCTCAGCCTCAGTCTGCCAGCCTCGGCCTCAGCCTCAGCCTGCCTCAGCCTCAGCCCCCTCAGCCTCAGCATCAGCCTGCCTCAGCATTCGAAATGTGGCCCGGATATAAGTTCTGGGAACTCGAAGAACACGAAGTGGCCTACAGTTGGCTCCGGGCATTCAAAATCATGCCCAGGAATGGAGTTCTGGGACTTCGAAGACCACGAAGTGGCCTACAGTTGGCTCCGGGCATTCAAGATGTGGCCCGGGAATGGAGTTCTGGGAGTTCGAAAAACACGAAGTGGCCCACTGTTGTTTCCGGGCATTCAAAATGTGGCCTGGGAATGGAGTTCTGGGAACTCGAAAAGCACGAAGTGGCCTACTGTTGGCTCCGGGCATTCAGAATGTGGCCCGGGAATGGGGTTCTGGACCTCAAAGAGCACGAAGTGTGTAACTGTTTGCTTAAAACGACTTCCGCGCTTCCGCGGATTCTCCCCGGCACCCGTCCGGCATCTGCCCAGACCCCCCTGAGGATTCAAGATGCTTTCTTTTGAGACCATTAGAAACCTATCAGTCTTCGCTGTTAGGTAATGAGTGCTTCTGTCCACTTTGGGCCTCGGGGAGCACTTGCAGGGCCCTCGGACCGTCAAACAGCGACGCAGGACGAAAGCCAGTCCACAGAACAGCCCCCCCGCCCTTGGGGAGGGCGCTGAGGGAACGGGAGGCCTGGGTTGGCCAGGGGCGGGCGGAGTTTGGACCACCCCAAGTCGCAATTTTGATTCGCGACGATCTTCCGTCGCGGAGACGCATGGATTTAACAAGACGCATGTTGGGCTCGCTGCGTGGGGGGGCCCTCGCAAGACTGGAAGGCAACGGACAGAGCAAGGGCCACACACACACACACACCAACCGCTGCAAGCACGGGGGCGAACATTTGAGGCGTGGGTCCCATTAACGCTGCACCCTCGCCAGTCCAATGGGCTCCCTCCCTCAGAGTAGCTATCACATGCCTTTGCGTTTGCCTCACCCTTGGCGCCTGCGGCGCACTCATGCGCACAAGGCCTGTTTTCACTTCACCTGCATCGGCGCGCGCCCAGGCACAGAGGAACCTCGCAAGGCACCACGCTGCTTGTCGCATCCAGCGTGCCTGGAGGATTAGCAGGTGGCGGCGAAGGCTCCTAGGGGAAGGGGCGTGCTGCATGTAGGAGCAGACATGTGCCACAGGGTGCAGGAGCGCGGTAGCGCGCAGTTGATAATGGGGAGGTATATCAAGCAGAGTACGAATTGTTTCGTAGCAGCAGCGATACTGCAATTGCTGCATGTAGAACCGCTGTCTGTTGGGATGCAAACATTCCTTGCAGCTGAGTTGAACAGATTTGGCGGTTCACCTGGGCATGACACCTGCTCCAGCTGGACCATCACGCCCAGAGTTATCAGGGAATTCGATTGGCCAAGGGGAGTTACCTTTCCCGTGCTCTATGTACTTATGAGTTTGCTTCGCTTTGGATGTTCTCGCCTCTTGCTGATGGATTGGCCATGCCGTGAGTCTGATTGCCTTGGCCTAGAGTTTAGAATTGCGTTTGCGTTGTACGGTGAAATGTGAACATGCGTTCGTTTGGCGAATGTATGCGAAGTTTACTGTTCGCAGCTGAAAGTAAGCTTGGCAATGTTGTTTATATGTTGGATCTGGGTGATCGTCGGCACGTGCTTCGCTAGCATTAACGTTGCGTTTGGCCTGTCTGTGTGCTAGTGTATATTGGTCACACTGTTCCGGCGCGCATGTTTGCATTCCCATTTCGTTTGCTTCAATTGAACTGTGCATCCTGTTTGTAGCTGCACAGGGCAGACCGGTAAATGAACACAGTTCACTGCGTATCAGGGCGATCGTTGTCTTGCACGGGGTCGCCCATCGACGCACGCGTAGAGGCGTTGACATGGACGTGTGCAATCTTGACGGGGATGGCCCCGAGGATTCCCAATCATGCTGCCATACCGATGCGCCAGCCCCTGCTCCGCTCGGCAAGGCAGGGGGGGCGCGCCTTCTCAGAAGGCTGAGACAGCCTCCAGATTAGAAGGCCGTCAGACTGGGAGGGCCTCCAGCTCGCTGCTTCCTCCCCGAGGTGGCCCCGACTATCTCTGCCCCTCCTGCCTGCCGTGTGTGCACGATGCCTGCAGGCGTTCTCGCACAGAAACCTGTGTGCGCGGCCGCGTGATGCTCGCTTCCGTGTGGCTGCTGTCCGCACTTCCCTGGGCGCCGAGGTTTGTGCTCTTCTCGGAGCGGGAGCTGGGCTGGGTGGGCTCGCTCACCTGGCTGCAGGCGGGGCGGCCCAGGGGGGGGGACTCGGCGCCGAGCGAGGGGGGGAGGTGAGAGGGAGGAGGCCCTCGCAGAGGGCAGCGGGGCTTGTCAGAACCCCTCGCGCCTTCGGATCCGTTTTTGCTCTGCCTCCGGGGAAGGCCGCGAAAACTGCTCAGGGGGCCCGGGGACCTCCGAGCCTGCGGAGCAGGCCCGCTTCTCGCCCCCCCCCCCTCGCCCGCCGCCGAGGGAGGGAAGGAGAGGTGGGCAGGTTCCCAGGCGAGCCCTCTGCCTGAATCGGGGGAGGAGCTTGCGGGCAGCGGCCGGCCTCCTCGTTTTCGCCTTGGTCGGGCCTCCCGGGAGGTGGCCTCGCCGCCGCGGCCGGATTCGCGTCCGAGCGGCCGCGGCCTGGTCAGAGCGGCCTCGCCGCCGCGGCCTGGTCAGAGCGCGCACCGAGGCAGTCCTGATTAGCGAGAAGCGGTCACGGCTCCTCGTTTGGTTGCTCCACCCAATCGCCTCTTCGAGAGTGTTTTTTTGTGGCCCTCTGGGCCATAACACGCGCGTTATGTCGCCTACCCCTCCCCCCCCCCCTCCCCCCTTCCATAACGTAACGCTTCCCCCTCAGTGCGTCCCTGGCACTGTCGCAGCGCGTCCAGCATCACAGTCTGGGGGTGGAGGGCGCTACATTGTGCCCCCCTGCTGTCCCCCCCCGCCCGTCCCGCCCCAATAACGAAACGCCAGTTGTGGCTGCGAGTGCATAAAGAACATGCGCTCTTCCAGGAAGGGAGCCTGTACCACCAGTAAGAGACAACTCTCCCATCTCGTGCCCGATGGGGGTTGTTCCATTTCGGTGTTCCAGGGACTACCTCGTACGAGGCTACGGCCTCCTGTGAAGGCCAGTAACGGCGCGGCCCCGCCCGCGCGAACGGGACGTTCTCTCGCGTCCGTCTAGAGACGTCTGTTCAGATCCGAAGGTGCACACCGACCTCCGCTCCGTTGCACCGCATCATGTCTGGCCTTGGCGATCTTGTTTTCCGTTTAGGCACTGACTGCCTCTTTGTCGATTGCGTCTCGAAGCTCCTGCCAGGATTTTGACCGGGAGCGCCCACCTGCAGTTTTACGGGAACGGTACCACAGCGCGTTGGCAAGTTGGAGCGGGCGGTGGCCGTGCGTGTACACATGCGTGCATGGCGTATATGATGAGATGGATGCATACATTGCATTGGCTCGGCCTGCTGCCTCGATGCGCTGGCGTCCCCCACTCCGAAAAACTACATGGTTGGACTTGGGCCATGCTGATTCGACCGTTGGGGATAGCTGTTCGGTGGACGACGGTGCATTCATCCTTTTCCCCTCCCCAGAACAATCCTACGTCTGAAGACCGCTCCTTACCCATCCTGGCACCTCGGCCCAACCTGTCCCCGCTTATGGCTTGGGCTTGTCTTGTCTCATGTCAAAGCGGACATCGTAGCACCGAGGGGACTTTATGTTCCCCTTCCGCTTGAAATTGCGGCCTAGAGAAGTGAAGCCTCACCCTCCGCCTTCACGTCATCCCTTCCTTGGGAGGCTGGCTTCGGCTGGCCAAGCTTCTCACAAGTTACTGCGGTGTCGAAACGTTGACCACGATATTCGCCTTGGGGCCACCTCGAGATGTATTTTGGGGCCTTCCCACTTCCTGGGTCTTCACCCGCTTCCATCTTCTCCCCTGAACTCACTTGTCCGTCTTGTCGCCTCCGCTCTCATGTCGTTGCCTCCCTTACCCGCCCTCCTCCTTTGATTTCTCCTCGCTGGCTCGATCTCCGACAGGCTGGCCATAGAGGCCCGCAGCCAATGCCCAAACGCGAGTGTAGACCTCACACTCCTCCTCCTCCTCCTCCTCCTCCTCCTCCTCCTCCTCCTCCTCCTCCTCCTCCTCCTAGATCTCTCCCGTTCCTATCCTCCTCTCTTCTCCCCTCCGCCCCGCTGCCCTCGAAGCCGCTCGCGGCGCCGCCGCAACACGATTGTGACGGGTCCGAAGGCAACCGCGCCCCTCGCCCTCTGCGCGGTCCGGGCGGGCCACGTGCTCTACTGCAGGGGGGCGAGCACGCGGCTCGGGTTTACCCAAAACGGAGTTCCCTCCCTCCCTCCCTCCCTCCCTCCAGCGGCAAGGGTGTGGTGCAATAGATTTGGTGCAACGTGTGGGGTTGCAATACGCTCGGGGCGTGCAGTACGTGCCGGGGCGCAAATGTCTTGCCAGATTTTTGCTTGTAATGTATGATTTGTAACATCGTGCGCCGTGAGTTCCTTCGGCGCAGTGCACTTGCAGTACAGTTGCCCCATTTCTAATGCACCACCCCCTTTCAGCTGGAACCCCTCTTGAGTCCGTGCATGCGTGAGCGTGCGCGGCCTTCCGTGCCTGCGTTTCATGTGGTGCACTCCCCCACTTGCCATCGGCACCTCTGCCCCTCGGGGGACCGCTGCGGCCACCGGAGCCGGCACGCAGCCTCCCCGTCCAGGAGGAGGAGGAGGAGGAGGAGGAGGGAGGAGGAGGAGGCGGAGGAGGAGGAGGAGGAGGAGGAGGGAGGAGGAGGAGGGAGGAGGAGGAGGAGGAGGAGGAGGAGGAGGAGGAGGAGGAGGAGGAGTCCCGTCCCCTTTTCGTGCCACCGCACGCGGGGGCGGCGAGGGCCGCCCGCCGTGCCCCGCGCAGCACTGCGCGCGAGAGGCAGGCCTCGGGCCGGCTCCGTGCCGTGCCCGCGTGGCGGCGGCCCCCGGCGCGGGCGCGCGGGGTCGAGCGCCACACCTGCAGGACCCGTGTGTCGACCTCTCGGATTCGCTTCGATCCGATGTCGATGGCCTCCGATTCCGATGCGATTGGGCGTCGGGCCACGCCTGCAGGACTCGTGCTCCGGTCTCTCTGCTTCGATTCGGTGCGGCTTCGACGGCTTCCGATTCCGAGTCGATTGGGCTTCAGATCCCGATGTGGACTCCGGTTGCTGACTGGAGGCGTACTGGCCTACCGATCCCGCCGATCCGGTTCATGTTGGGCCCTTCTGGGGGAGGAGGAGGAGGAGGAAAGGGAGGAGGAGGAGGAGGAGGAGGAGGAGGAGGAGGAGGAGGAGGAGGAGGAGGAAAGGAGGGGAGGAGGAGGAGGAGGAGGAGGAGGGGAGGAGAGGAGGAGGAGGAGCAGGAGGAGGAGGAGGAGCAGGAGGAGGAGGAGGAGGAGGAGGAGCAGGATCGCCGACCCGACTGATCGATTCGATGCTTGGCCCTTCTGCACTGGGCACTGGGATCGGCCGAGGTCGAGCGGCGGACGCCATCGAGGAGCCCCTCGCCCGCTCCAGGGTCGAACGCTCCGCGCTGTGTCGGAAGCCAGGGCCGAAGCCCTCCCGACGCGAGCCTGCCGTAGGCAGAAGTCCGAAATCCGCCTGTCGGGGGGCACCCGGACCGGACCGCATGCGTCGGTGGCCGAGCCAGCCTTGCCGCAACCGAGCCTTGCCGCAACCGTCGAGTGCCCCCCCCCCCTCTGCGCTCCCTGCGCCGCGCCTCCTCGCCGCATGTGCATCAGATGCTCCGTCTTTGGGGGCCCTCCCTGGGGCCTCCCTCCCTCCCTCCCTCCCTCCCTCCCTCCCCCTCCTCCTCCTCCTCCTCCTCTTCCTCCTCCATCCCCTGTCCTCGTATATTGCTCCTCTCTGTCGCACCCACGCCTCACGGACATGTTCGACTCAAGTTCGACTCAAGTTCCACTCAAGTTCGACTCATCTTCGACTCAGGTTCGACTCAGGTTCGACCCAAGTTCGGCTCAGCTTCGACTCAGGTTCGACCCAGGTTCGGCTCAGGCTCGACTCAGGCTCGACTCAGGTTCGACAAAGGGTCGACCTCAAATGGACGGCCGTTCGACGCAGCGTCGACGCGCGAGCGGATCGAGCGTCTCCAGGAAGGTCCCCAGAGGGAGCACCCCACATCACCGCTCCTCGGGGAAGCGCGCCCCGGCGCCCCCCCAGGAACACAACCTGCTCTACGGGACGGAGCTGGCCGACCCAGAAGACGTGAAGTGGTGGAACCTCAAGCGCGCGGATGCGCCGCTGGATCGTGAGGTCGGAGCCGACGCCGGCGACGATAACGACGGCGGCGACGACGATGACTGCGGCGGCGACGACGACGACGAAGACGACGACGGCAACGACAGCGAGGTCGGAGCGACCTCGGGATGGAGGGGGAGAAGTGGAGGGGACCCTCATCCCCCGCATAAAAAAACGACGTAAACATAAAAACGACGTAAACATAAGCTTTTGGCGCTCGGCACGGGTTTCTTGGATCCGCGCTGGGGCCCCCCGGTCGGCGCCTCTGGCGCGCCAGGGAGAGGTGTTCAGCGCAGATCCAAGAACTCCGCGCGGAGCGCCAAACGTTTATGTTTACGACGTTTTCTCCCTTTTGGGATGCGCTACCTCGCCTCCATGAGTGTTGCGAGACGTAGCGCCGTCGCCACCTCGCCCCCCCCCCGCGAGGCCCCGGAGCTGCGCGCCACGGGGGTCCCAAACGGGGACTTCGCGCCCAGTGGTGCCCGGCGCCGAGCTGCCGCCATGTCCCGAGCCCCCCGTCCGGGGGAGCAGCCCCCCCCACACGGCTGCAAACGGGATGGCACCTCCCTGGGTGGCACCAATCGAAGAAAAAAAGCAAGGTGGCGACGGCGCTACGTCTTGCAACACTCAGGGAGGCGAGGTAGCGCATCACAAAAGGAAGAAAAACGTCGTAAACATAAATCGGGCCGGACGAAAGGGGGGGATTGGGAAAGGGGGGGCTACGAAATTTGCTGTGTGCAGCTGGTTTCGGCCCCACCGCGAGGCCCATTCCTCGATACACAGCCGCCTCCGGCGCAAGGGAGGCGCCGGGAAATTCAGCTACGTGAGCTGATTCTCAAACCGCCCCGTGGCTATCCCCCCCTTTCGCCCGGCCCGAATAAACTGTTGGCGCTCCGCGCAGATGGTTTGGATCTGCGCTGGGCTCCCATGCGGCGGCGCCCTCGGCCCGCCCCTGGCGCGCCGCGCGCGCCTCGGAAGGGGGGGTCTAGCGTAGAGTCGGGCCTTGTCCCCCTACAGGGGGATTTTCGGCGACAAATAAAAAATACCCAACAATACACCAAAAAGATGAGAACAAAAATAGAAAAATAGTACCCAGACTATTGTTTGATTATGTTTGGATTATGTTTGAGGTATTTTTTGATCTTTCGTTGCAAATCCCCCTGTAGGGGGACACGCCCGACTTAAGTCTAGCGCAGATCCAAGTAATCCGCGCGGAGCGCCAAACGTTTATGCTCATGCAGGTTTTTCTTCTTCTGCCCCTTGGGTGGCACCAAGCGTAGGAAGTGCCCCCCTTACCCCCGCCTCACTCCCCCCTTCCGCCAAGCCCGTTGAAAGGAGAGGCTTCAAGATCGCCGCCGCCACATTCGGGGCGACAAAGTCTAGACATATCCACTGCTCCCTGGCCAGGCCCATCCTGGACCCAGGAGCTGTGTATACGCCCTCCTGGCCAAGCCAGGAGGGCGTGGCGTATACACCGCTGCTGGGTTCAGGATGGACCTGGCCATGGAGCAAGGGATATGTATAGATTTCGTCGCCCTAGCCTGGAGCCCCTGGGGAATTGCCCGCGAAGCCGCGAGAGCGTCTCGCGGATCCATCGGCGGGGCCTCGTCTCGCTGGCCTGTCGCCAGCCGCAGGGCTGCCTACCCCCCACCGAAGGGGCTGGGCTGCGCGCCGCTCGCGGTAGATCCCAAGGTTATACCGCGCTTCCTCCATGTGCGGTGCCAAAACGTCCTCTTTCTCCTCCTCCTCCTCCCCTTCTTCCTCCTCCTCCTCCCCCTCCTCCTCCTCCTCCTCCTCCTCCTCCTCCTCCTCCTCCTCCTCCTCCTCCTCCTCTCCTCCCCCTCCTCCTCCTCCTCCTCCTCCTCCTCCCCCTCCTCCTCTCCTCCTCCTCCTCTTCCTCCTCCTCCCCCTCCTCCTTCTCCTTCTCCTCCTCCTCCTCCTCCTCCTCCCTCCTCATGTTTCTCCAGTTTCTCCATTCCAGGCCAAATCCCCAACCCGCGAACGAGCGATCATCGGGCCCAGTTAGTTGAGAGCGACAGCGGGCCTGGGCGAGAGCGGGGCCGCTGGCCTCCGAGCAGCAACACGAACCAGCCCAGGCTCACGCCATTCGCCCTACAGGACAACTCCGACCAACAATCACCTTACTGGATGGATTCTTGCCTTCGCGGGGCATCTTGAGACTTCGCGCAGCATGTTTATTGCGTGGGTGGTCGACACACTTGGCAGCCAAAGACTGCGACCGTCTGTTGCCGAAAGCACCGCACCTCGAGCACCACGAGATCTGCCCGCCTCCAGTGTAAACCCTGTGGGAGGGGTGGGCAGCACGGGCTGCCTTGGGCAGCCCGACGCATGGGAATTGGCAGACACCTACCCTACTGTTAAGTCGGGCTTGTCCCTCTACAGGGGGGAAATCCAAAAATAGTTTAAACATAGCCTGGGGAGTGTTTTTTGAGTATGGTTTGACAATTTTGGGACATTTTCGAGTATTTTTATGCTTCGTCGAAAATCCCCCTTTAAGGGGACACGCCCGACTTGACCCTACTGCCTGCCTTCCCACAGCGAACGCACTGGCATTTGAACCTGCCCCCTGGGAGACGGGACCGAACCGGCTGATGGCCAAGCACATCGGGCACCAGCTCGAGACCTCCAGGGCGCTGTCTTACCTTGGCTCCGACCCTCTTGACATCTGGGAAGGGGACACGGGAGAGAGTTGTCATGGTTTCGTGGATCACGCACACGCTGTTGACGACGAGCTCAGCCTGATGTGCGTACACTGCTTGGCGCGAGGGTTGTGGGGATGCACCGCAGCCCCTAACTTGGCCAGGCGGTCCGCCTCGCGATTGCCAGCCCACACCCAGTACCTAGAGCCCCGGTCGAGCCCGTCGAGACAGATGACCCTTGACTTTTAGTGAGGGTCATGTTGTGAATCCCTACGTCTCCTCCTCTAGCCAAGATGTCGCACCAAAGGTCACTAAAAGCAACAGTGGTGAGGTCTTGGGAGGGCCCCTTCTTCCAGATGTCGCAGACCATCTGGCAGTCAGTGATAAACGCGGTAGGACGACCTCCTACAAGTCCCAAAGCCGTCACGACGGCGAAGACCTCGCCCCCTCCCGGGGAGTGAAGCGGGTGGGGGAGGGGTCCATAGAGCGAGCCCGAGATGCTTCCCCCTTCATCAACGGCCACAACCACCCACCCCGCACGCGAGAACCAATCACTGCCTGGGTCCAACGCAGAGCCATCCAAACAGATCTTGCCCGTGTCCAGGAGTCCAGAGGGGGGGGGAACACTCCAAAGCCACTTGGCATCGACAAGCGGGGCGGGCCAGAGGGCGGTGGGGCTCGCGAAGAGCCTTCTCGTGAAGCCTGGGTCCTCGTCTCCCGCCTCGCGGCCACTGGCCAAGAAGCTGTCCAGATCGAGGGATTGGCGGAGCCCGATGTTAGCGTCGCATCCGTAGAACCTGTGTCGAGGAGTCCCCGCCAAGGCTCCGCACCACCTGCAGAGGGGAGACAGGACTCGACGTCCTAAACAAAGAGCCTGTTGCGTGGCAAACCCTCCCGCAACAACTCGAGAAACTAAGGAGGCCTCGAGCCCCTTGCCTCGGGCTCGCAAGGCTTGCAGTTTCCGAACAATCGGTTCCAGCAACGTGCTAGCGGTCAAACCGTCCATTCCGCGCCCGACGGGTTGCAGGAGCGACCCCATGGGTTCAGGATGAGAGCGAGCTCGCATAGTGCTCTTGCCCAGGGTGCCAGGCTCGACTTCGATTCCACGTTTCGTGACCCAGGGCCGATACCCCAGGACCTTCCAGCCGAGCCTCATCAAGGCACGCAGAACGGCGCCAGCGGGTCCAGTGACCTGCCCCCAGCCAGACCCAGGGGTGTCGAGGAACGCGCCAGAACTCCTCTCGAGGTGGGCTTCGGGGGCCCCGCCATGGGCGCAGGGCCAGACACCAGCCCGGGAGGGGGGGCAGAGTTAGCCGAGAAGGTGGGGCCGGATTTGGGGTCCCCGCTGCGTTTGTAGTCGAGCGTCCTGGGCCGTCCTAAAACAGGGCTAGGATCGGGACAAATCGCTCCAGAGCGTTCCGGAGCGCTCTCAGAGCGTTCTGGAACGCTCTGAGAGCGGCCGCGGCGCCCAATACATCCTCCAAGCCCGCCGATTCTCAGAGATTTCGAGTTATCCCGATCCGATTTTGTCCCGATCGTCGCGTCGTTTTACGTCCCGTGGGGGCCCCGGAGATGACCTGGCCCAGGATCGCACGAATGTCGTCCAGGCGGGCGTCGGCAATCCCAATCCCTGCACAGCCGCACAGCCACAGCTGACAGCAGGCAGGCCTCCATAAGGAGGGGAAGAAACACACAGACACAATTAATCGTCGATTCCCAGAAAATATGGGAAATATGGGAAGTGGGGGGGAAGACAGAAACCCAGAACATATATGAAAATATGGGGAATACTTTTATTTGTGTGTATTTATTTGTGTGTCCTGGGGCCCCTTCACTCCAGTGTTGGCCACGGAACGCCGAGCGGAGCCCACGGAACTTGCGGAGCTTCGGCCTCAAGGCGGTCACTCGGCCTCGCTGGATCGCAGTGCTCCGCCTGCGCCGTCGGACCGAAAAGTCAACGCCGAGGTGTCTGTTCGCGCTTTTTACTTCGAAGCCCCAATCGTGGATGAACACCGAAGTCGTCTTCCCTACCCCGCTGTCGGTGGCCATCACCGCACCTTTGTCCTTGGATGTGATCAGATCGAGGCCCTGGAGCTGCAGCAGAAGGTAACGTGCCGCCGCTGCCACTCGCTGGCCGAGGTGAGCAAGTGCGCCCATGCCAAACAGCGTGATGTCATCGCCAATGGAGGACCATCGCGTCAAGAGGGGTGAGGAAAATGAGTTTCATCAGGGACGTCGCATATCCACATCCAGCGATGCTCCCCATGGCCCGCATATATCACACCTGAAGTG